CACATTTTGAAAGGACATAATTCAGTCTGTGACTGGGCCTATAGTTTTTTTAAGGGAATGCTAAAATGACTATCAACTATTCTATTTCATTCATGTATCATTCTTCCTGGAGATTTTTAAATATAAAAAACCTGTTTCAGGATTAGGAAATTACAATTTTTTTCTTTTAAATTATGTATTCTGAAGCTCAAGAAAACAAAATATAGCAAAATGTGTGAAGACTTAGAGTTTGAAATTCAATAAGGAAGAACTCAGAATTTCTATCAATCTAAAAGAACCAAAGAAGAAATTAAAACCAAGTTGTGATACTGAAGGATTCTGTGGGCAAAGTTTTGGAATATGCAGGAATTATCAAAAGAAGTTTTAAGGAATACACAAGTCACTGTGATAAAAAGGAATGATCAAGGGTGAACCTTGTCAGGACATAGTATGGGCTGTTGGCAAAGAAAGAAAGCTCCAGGAATTGATAGAATAACAAATGGGGATTTTGGTAAACAGACCCATACCTAGGTGTACTTACTTAGTTTATACCAAGAGATCTGGAAGACACCTACCTGGTTGGCCAACCAAGGTAAGAGATCTGTAGTTGTGTTCATAAAAAAAAAAAAATTAACAATTAGGAAATTGTTGAACATTAATACCACAGAAAATCTTTTCAAAGAATAGTCAAAGACTGATGGAGTGGTATGGACATCAACAGGGAACTGCCAGAAATTCAAACTGGATTCGGAAGAGGCCATGGAATGAGGAAATTGTCATCTAGATCTGTAATAAAGTGCATGGATAAAAGCAATTCCATCTAAGTTATGCATTTGGCCTTGTGTCTACAGAAAGGACCCCCTTCCAGTATCATAAAGAAGGTCTTCAAACTCACTGGCATGTTTGATCAGTTCTTTTCAAAATAACTTCCATTCCTAGCTGGCAATTTGCTTCTGGTTGTCCTTTAGTTTCTTGCCATGAGTTCCTCTCTGGCATGGATAAGTACATCAAAGCCAGCAAAGGAGAGAGTGTGTGCATGTGGAGTCAAAGTTTGAATCTTCATACTCATAACAAGGGTGACACCCTACCAAGGCTACATTTCTATAGACTGGAAGCAAAGAGAGTAGATTGTACGAGGCTGTGAATATCGGGAGGCAGGATCATGAAGGCCATTTTAGGGTCATCCTGCATTATCTGTTGCCTGTAAATTAATAATGGGTCCAGAAGCTTAGCTAGAATGAAGTTCAACAACTTAGGCAAGATACTCAATAGGTCATGTGTATTTGCTGTTTGAATTTAATTGCAGCATACATGAACATCCTTAAAAATACTTCCTTTCCTCTAATTAAAAGATGTGGTTGTTATGGGCAGTCAAGTGGCCACCTATTCATAGATGATTCTCCATTGGGTTCTCAGAGACTGTAAAATACATGAAAGGAGAATGCTCATCTTTCCCCCAAGGAACAGTTGGTGGAGTCAAACCACCCGCCTTTAGGGTGGCCACACCACTCCTTACCACTAATCCACCAGAACATGGCATAAGTCTAGTAAAAATGTTAAATTTTCGTTTTTATTTACCTGTCTGCTTCCCAGAGTGATAGATATTTGAGTTTTGTTTAGCGATTAAAAGTAGGGAGCTTTGGTTACCTACTGGTAAACAGCCACCTTGCTATTGCCAAGTCATATGGTTTGAGTCCACCAGCTGCTCTGCAGGAGAAAGATTGACAGTCTCTGACCATTTGTTCTGATGGTACACAATAACAACAAACAATTAACAATTCAAACTAAGGGTGTTTATTTAGGTGCTTGTTTTCTGGGCCGGCTATGGATATCAGGATCTTAACTGTGAACACAAGTAATTACTGCCATTTTTATAGGAAATGAAAATCTGATTATGGACAGTTAAAAGAGAATGCTAAGGTCCTTCCCACCTTCTGCCTCAGATAAGGTCTGGGGCTTAGTATTTGATTTTGAAGCTCCTGGACATATGGAAGAAATAAAAAAATGTGTCCAGATAGCAACATTTCCATCCGATTAAAGGTATGTATCAATATTTACCATTATGATTTGGAACTGGAATTGTACATTTTGTTTAATGGAGTAGCAATGTGGACAGCAAGCATAAACTAGGTAATTTCTTTAACCCCATAAGTAATTCTATTGAGATGAAGTGACACAGTGACTGCCACAATGGACTCAAGCACAGCAGGGATTATGAACATGGTACAGGATCAGGCAGTGTTTTGTTCTGATACACAGAGTCTCAGAGCTGGAGTCAACTTCACATCTAACAATAGTTGTATATGAGAACCCTCGGCACAGTGGTGAAGTGGTCAGCTGTTAAGCAGTAGGCAGTCTGAACTTACCAGCCACTCCTCAGAGGAGAGGGAAAGACTCTGACAATCTGCTTCCATGACGATTCTTGTTGGTAGGTGCCATCAAGTTGACTATATAGCTCATACCAACCTTATGAAAACCAGATTGGAACCTTGTACCATCCTGACCGTCTCTCATACGCTCCAGTCCATTTTTATACTTCAGTGTGTCCATCCTTTTTGCTGAGAGTCTTTCACTGTGGGGGAGTCCTATGTTGTATAGGGTAGCAATGAGTTGGGATTGACCCCATGGAAATGAGGGGGTTTGTTTGTTTAGTTGTATAAGTGTAACCTAAGTTTATCCTCATCTATATAGGGTACCAAAACGAAACCAGGTCCCTTGGGCTTGCAGATAAGTTTATCTTTGCAACTGAAGGATGTAAAAGATAGGCCAGAAATCTTCAGAAAACAAGAGTAACAAAACAATGGAAAAATAAGTAATGCTTAATGAACTAGATATTAGTAAGAAGAAAGATGCCAGTTTGCTTAATCCTAACAGCACCTATGTTGGCTTTTACACAAAGCATCATTCTAAACTTCACTATCACAGTAACGTTTTTGAGAATGATTTTGTCCTGTTGAACACAGAGTTGCTGTGAATCAGAGCAGAAAACTGGTTATTACCTATTGGGTCGCAGGGTCTCACCACCACGGGTAAAGTTGTTTCTATGGGAATGTAAGAATTTTACCCTTCCTTACAACAGACACGGTGATTATCTTCAGATGTCCCTAAGCTTTCTCCTATACATTGAATAGAGAATTTGTACAAATCTGAATGAGTAGGGTTCTCCAGCTGAAGATGTGCAATCACCCCCTTATTTAACCAATCACTGGAAGTATTACTAAGAATTGACTATGTGGACATCTGAGTATTGGAAAAATAGAAGTAAACAAAACAAGGTTCATACTTTTGTGGAGGTTATATTCATGTGGAAAGAGACAGGTATAGTGTAAGTGATGTTGTCAAGAGCAGTAAAGAGACAGAAATGAAGCAAGGTAAGAACAGAATGTTGGCTGGAGGGTGGAATTGTGTCTTTTTTAATTGTCTGCTCTGACACACAGGCACACAAATACAAGCTTATGAAGGCAAGTTATTGTGTTGTTGGGAAAAATTGGAGATTGTTCATCTTTCCCATAAAGCAGCTCGACTGAGCTCTGACTTATAGGGACCTTAGTTACAACACCACCTGTCTGTCATCCTCACAATCACTGCTGATTTTGATTAATGTAAGCATGGAGCCAACTCAAAGGCACCTAACAACAACAACAACAACAACAATCTCATTCCATCACTTGAGAAAAAAACAACTCCAAAACAACAAACATACTTTAGATCTTGTCCTTGGTTTTCTTCACTAAACGCCAATTTCTGGTCATGATTCTTACAGTTTCCAATACAAGTTTCTAAACTTACTTGAATGCAATATTTATTTCATTGTACTCTGTATTCTTTCTCAATGTATTTAACTACTGTCCAAACACTGATGTTTCTATTGTTGACAGTCTTTTGCTTTGGGGGATAATGAAGTTATAGATAACAACATAAGAAAAGAACATTTCTGTTATGGTTTTTCTGTATTCCCTCCAAAAAAGAAGGAAATTGATCAAAAGAATAAAACATAAAGATCTTATTTTTCTTGTTCTTTTTTCAATTTAAAATATCATCCATATGTCAGAGATTTTAAAAACCACCAAGTAACAATATTAAGACGTTAACATGAACTGATTTACATTGTAAAAATATGTTTCCCATTATTAGAACAATATTACCTCATGAAGAGGTGGAAGATAAAGTGAGCCACTCTTTAGTAAAATCAATGTATTTATAAGAGTGTACGTTCAGGTGATAAAAAAAAACCAACACCTAAATAAAACCCAACAAACCACACTGTTGACATGCCAGTGTTCCTATATTCTCTTTTCCCCCTCAGTCCACAAAATGATAGTGCGGTAAGGAATTGCGCTGCCAACACAAAGGTACAGGGTTCAAATCCATCACCCGCTCTATGGGAGAAACATGAGCAATCTCATCCCATTTATTAACTGCCTCTGGAGACCAGCTGGAGGGCTGGTACCCTTCAGACCAGTAGGTTGGTTCGGAATTGAGGGCAAACAACAGCAATGTTCCTTGGAAAAAGACACCATGCTTGGAAATGTGGAGGGTCAGGAAAGAGAGGAAGACCCCCACCGAGAAGAACTGACAGTGTAACTATGGTAACGGGTTCAAGGGTGTCAGAGATGAGAAGGGTGGCTCAGAATAGGGCAGGGTTCCGCTCTGGTGTCAGAATTAGTGAGACTGGCACAGGACAGGGCGATCGATGTTCAGAGCTGCTGTATATACGGGTCGCTATGGGTCGGAGGTGACTCGACGGGACATGACAACAACCTGAGCCTTTCTCCACTTGACGGCAACAACAGCCTTTCACCACCCGACGGCAACAACAACGTGAGCCTTTCTCCACTCCACAGCAACAACAACAACGTGAGCCTTTCTCCCCTGGACCGCCCCTTAACAACAAGAAGCAGAGCCACTTGCAAGTTCAAGTTGCTCTGCGATTGTCAGCTGTCACGCTATTGGTGCGAACACTCCCGGCAGCCGCGCTCGGCGACGAGGCCGGAAGTGACGCTCAAGCTGCGACGCCAGCGCCTGCCTCCTGTCGCCGCTGGAGTGCGGCTCAGGTCGGGCCGGGCACAGTCGCCTCTCCGTCCATGGTGGCCGCCGTGCGATCATGACGGGGAAGAAGTCTTCCCGGGAGAAGCGGCGGAAACGAAGCAGTCAGGAGGCGGCCGCGGCGGCCTCGGCCCCGGACGTGGCGCCCGCCGTGGCCAGCAGCGGCAGCGGCAGCACCAGCGGCTGCGGCAGCACCAGCGGCTGCGGGAGCGTCACCTGCTGCGGGAACACCAGCTTCAGCGGCAGTGTCACGGGCGGCGGGAGCGTGGGCAGCTGCTGGGGCGGGAGCAGCGTGGAGCGCAGCGAGCGGCGGAAGAGAAGGAGCACGGACTCGTCGTCCAGCGTGTCGGGGTCCCTGCCGCAGGTGAGTGCGCGCCGCCTCGCCGCTCTCGGGCCGCCGCTTTCGGGGCCGCAGCCCGTGCGCTGCGGGGCCGGCGACCCGCGACGTGCGGCGGCCACAGAGCGCGGCCCCCGGGTGCCAGGCTCTTTCCCCCAAGACCGGGTCAGTCCCACACACTTGCAAGCCTTGAACTTCAGACAGTCGCGTCAGCTTATTTCGAACTTCAGACCTTCTGATCCGTTTGCTGCTCTGTTCCATTTTCAGCCTCTTTATTGTTTCTAGTGTCCCTCGTCTTTGAGAAAGGTATGCGCTGGAGCTAGCCATCTCTTCCTTTACGAGCCAGAAACGATACTTTTGAATCTTCACGTTGCAGATAGAAGACATTTAGATGAACAACTACATCACCAGGTTGGAAGCAGGAGTGGCATCCACTTCCTAAAGAACATGCCTCCGGAAACTCTGTGAACTTTCATAAATCTTGATAGTTGTAGAGCGGCTTAAGGTCTTTTGTTCATAGGGTCGCTGGGAGTAGTGCTCGACTTGAAGGCGGTCAACAACGACATCCCCAGGATGGACAGTGTTTGGTGGAGCTCCCAAACAGGTTTGGAAGGAGGAGTGGCATCCACTTCTTAAACAACATGCCTCTGGAAACTCTATGAACTTTGAGAAACGATAGTTCTAAAAAGGCTTCAGATCTTTTGTTCATAGAATCGCTTGACTTGACAGCAGTCAATAACAACACCGCCACATCACTGAAAATTGAGTTTCAGAATGGTTGAAAAAGTTCCCCACCATAACATAGTGCGCCTGGAAATAATCCTGATAAAGCCTTATTCTTTATTCCCCATCAGTCTGGTAGGATCATACCTTATATTTCTGCCTTCGTTTTTAGTATTATTTTTAAAAAAATATATAGAATAATTAATTATTTGAACAAAATTCATACCACAAATAAAGGATAAAGGAAAACACACCAAGTTTCTTTTCATGCTTCCCTCTCAGTGATTTGATTCAAAGCACTTTTTCATTTTACTTTGTGTGCACTTAACGCTTTATTTTGAGTTGATTACCACTATATGTTGAGAATGAGGGTGTTTCTATAGCTCATCCTTATTTTTCAGTGACCTTGTTGTATTTCAGATTTTTATTTATTTGAGTGTACAGAGTTGCTAACACAGGCCATACAAAAATGAATACTCTTGAACTTAGAGTTTGTGCAAGAATTATTTTAGAGTAAAGCTTAGAAGTAAAATTGAGTCAAGAGGTAGGCATTTAAAAGAATTTTGATAACCAAATTGTTTCTCAAAAGCGGATTTCCCTAATTTATGTGGCTTTTCTGTAGGAAGCTGCATTACTAACCCAGAGAACGTGCATTCTCTTCCCTTGCGACTTTTGGTCTCTGAAAACCCTCCAGATCCTCAGCTCTGGGTCGATTCCCACCCGATGGCACACAACAGCAATCCAAGGGAGCTCTGGTGGCCTACTGGTAAGGAGCTGCAACTACAATCCCAGAGGCGCACGGTTCGAATCCACCAGATGCTCCGCCGGGGAAGGAGGGACATCTCCTCCTGTACCAGTCAGATCTGATTTGACGGTACACTCACACAAAAATAATAAAATAAAAATTTAAAAAAAAACACAGCAATCCAAGAGCACAGTATTTTACTTCAAGATGGATCTTCAGATGGGCCTTTTGACTGAATACAACTCCATTCTTTCTTGCTTTTTCATTCCCAGCATAGTAGATCAAAGGGTTGTCTGATTCAGAGTGGTCAGTGCTGGTTCATCCTCGCTCGATAATGCCCAGAATATGCCTTATGTGTTCTGTTTCATTTTTTATAAAGTCCACAATTTTCCTAAATTCATACTTGGTACATTTCATGTTATAATTACTAATGGGTTTTCACCTCCAGTGCTCTATCTAACAGTGTTCCTCTATTGTTCATAGGATTTTGCAGGCCTTTTGTTTCAGAGGTGGATGACCAGTCCTTCCTAGGCTCTCTTAATACGAGAGCTCTAGTATAGTAACTGACAGTCAAGTGCTGGACCTTCAAGATTAGATGATAAACAAGCACCCATACTCATACATAAGTAAAATTGCAGTAACGTGCAAGTCACTCCTCCAGTATCAGAAACGGACAAGTATCGTACCTCTAAGATTAAACTCTAAGGACAAGAAAACATCTCTCATGCTGTGACTGATGAGAGCTCCCTGGGTGGAACAACACAGGCGACCCAGAGGCTGGACGATGCAACTGGTGGGAGCTCTTGGTGGTGTGACGATGGTAAAGCCGCCAGAAGGCCCAGAAGTCAGCCTGCCTGGCTGGCTGGTGAGAGTGGTGAAGGCCTGGAAAGGCCCAGAGGCAAGAATGGGGAAACTGTCTCACACACTTTGGGCATCTTGTAAGGAGGGGCCATTCCTTAGTGGACATCACGCTTGGAAAGATGGAGGGTCAGTGTAAGAGGGGAATACCCTCAAGGGGCTCAAGAATGTCTGAGATAGTGAGGAAGAGGACGGGGTTCACACCTTTTGTTCATAGGGTTACTGTGAATCACAGTCAGCTCACACATAACAACCATAACAAACAGTTCAAGGTTGTGAATATTTATCCCTGTGCTTTGTTTTAAAAGCTTTGTAGGGAACCTTGTTCACACAGTGGGTAAGTATTTGGCTATTAACCAAGATTGGTAGTTTGAATTCACTCAAGTGGGAGAAAGATGTATCAGTTGATTATATATTTTTTTAATTCCTAAACCTACGTCTTTGATCCATTTTGGATTGGTTATTGTATAAAGTATATGGCAGGGGCTCATTTTGATTGTATGTTCATATCCATTTATCTGAGCACCATTTGTTGAAAATACTGTTACCATTGAGTGATCTTGGCACTCTTCTAGAAACTTGACCACAGATATATTTATTTCTCTACACTCAGTTCTAGTCCCTTGATCTATATATTTGTACTGCAGGTTGATAGTTAACATAACTTTTATATTTAAGCCTAAGTTTGTAATTATGGTGATGATTTGATTACAGTTCTGTAGTTAAATTTTGAAATTGGTGAGTGAGTCATCCAAGTTGGTTCTTTTTCAGTGTTGTTTTTTGTGTTTTGACTCCTTTATATTTTTGTACAAACTTTAGTATAAGCTTGTCAAGATCTACAGAAACCTCCCCTCATTGCCACTGAGTTGGAACCAGCTCATAGCTGACCCTCCAGTGGGTTTTCAGAGGCTGTAAACGGCACAGGAGATTCTCCCTCTGAGCTGCTGGTATAGTCGCACCTCTTGCTTGGTCTTGAATTGGCAACTCCCTGTGCACTAGGCCACCAGAGCTTGCAGTTTACCAAAAAGACCATTGCAATTCGGGTACGGGCTGCAGTGAGTCTATACATTTGGAGAATATTGTAATGTTAGTAAGATTAAGACATCCAGTTCATAATTGTGGGATGTCTTTCTCATTCATTTAGATCTGTAATTTTTTTCAACAGTGTTTCGTAGTGTTGAAAGTTGAGTACTTCTTTTGTTTATTGCTAGATATTTTATGAATTTTTTACATAATTGTAAAGGAAATTATTAATTGCTTTTTCTGATTGTTCATTGTAATCTCAGTGTGTGGAAATGCACTTGTCAACCTTGCCAAACTTTAATAGTTTTTAAGTAAATTTTTTAGGATTTTCTAGATCCTAAATTATTCTTATCTACATATGGAGATAGTTTTACTTTTTTTTCATTCTAACCTGGATGCATTTTATTCTCATGTCTTGTTCAAATGTATTAGCTAGAACTTGTAGTTAGTTAGGGCTGTTGATTTACGATGATTCCATGTTTAGCAGAAGGAAACCCTGACTCATGCTCTTCCATCCTCACAATCTCTCCAGGTTATTACTGCAATCACTGTGTTTGTCCATCCCCTTGGGTGTCAGGTTCTTTTCCATGAACCCCCTATCTTTCCAAGCGTATGTTATCTTCCAAGGACTGACTCCTCCTGACAGACAACATGCCCAAATGTTAGCTGAGTCTCACTGTCCTTGCTTTTAAGAAACACTTTTTCCAAGACAGATTTGTTTGTTCTTTTGGCAGTCCATGGATCTTCTCTGTCACTATAATTCAAAGGCATCAATTCTATAACTTCTAGTACAATGTTGAATAAAGATATGGCAGGAGACATTCTCCTGGTTTTATGGTGGGTGGATGGCATCAGGTTGATTTTGATTCATAAAGATACCATGTTACAGAGTGGAACTGCCAATAGCATTTTCTTGACTGTTTGAAATAGGTTGAAGAGACTCAAAATTCACTTCCAGGAGTCTAGTTAAACAAACTATTGAGATAGTCAGTGCAAAAGATGATAGTAATGTGGGCCTGAATTGCAGCAGGAATAGAGATGTAGAAAATAAAATTGCTGTGATATGTTAAATAACTGAAATTATTTGACCATTTTGAATATATTTAAATTTTAAATATAATAGCATAAAAATGATAATATCTCATGGTAAGGAGTTTTAATTTGGTTCATACTAGTTATGATTTATCATACTTTTGCTATTTCTATTCCATTTCTTTATATGATAGATAGAATGACACGTGCATATATAAGTAAGTTCGGAGTGAATAACTAACTGGAGAAATATTAGAGTTCTTCAAAAGTGTAAAATTGTTAGAAAGCATTCAATAGTGAGTCTATTTTCATTTGCATATCATAAAATATTTTCCTTTATATCAAATCTTCTCTAATTGCTTTTGAGTTTGAGCAAGTGCATAGTTGACTCTCCCGCGGGTTTTCAGAGGCTATAAATTGCACAGGAGGAGATTATCGCTCTTTCCTGCAGAGTTTTTGGTGGATTTGAACCCCATGCCTTTGGGTTGGCAGTGCAGTTCCCTATCCACTAGGCCACCAGAGCTCCCTTCATAGTGAGTAGCTGAGTTAATTGCAGTGTGGAGAGACAGATCAGGGATTATTGTACAGTTGGTTATTCTTTCCAGTGGTTTTAGATTAATGACCACTTCAAAGAATTTGGAAGTGTTTAATGACAAATTTATTATGTGAAAATCTTTGACATCATAAACATATGTTGTAATTTTTAAATAGTATTAAAATGGTTCTTTTTATCTCTTTGAATTTTAGGAAACTAAGTATCTATTGCCATCTTTGGAAAAAGAATTGTTCTTGGCAGAGCACAGTGACCTGGAAGAAGGGGGACTGGACTTGACTGTATCATTAAAACCAGTTAGTTTCTATATATCAGACAAAAAAGAAATGCTTCAGCAGTGCTTCTGTATCATAGGTGAGAAGAAGTTACAGAAGATGCTTCCTGATGTGTTAAAGGTACTTATATTACATGCATTATCAGACTCTGCATATATAGGAATACAGCCTTTTTTGAAACAATTATCTTCAAATTGTATGCATTCTGTAATTGAATGTTTTAAACTGGAACAAACTAGCTTTAAAAAAAAAAGTTATTTTGAGCACCATAAATGGCCTTCTATATTTAAACATTTTCCAGGGGGGAAAAAGAAGTGACAATTTATTATGTGGGCAAGAGTTTTATTGACCCTAAACTATAGAAGGAATTCCATTCGATGCACTCAGTAGTTGTAATTACATTGGAAGAAACGGGACTTTTTCTGGTGCTTTAAAAATAATAGTGTAATTCTGTGTAACAATACATATTAATGACTGGTAGACAGTAGCTTTTATGTCGGTAAATTTATAATGCATTCATGTTTTTATTTCTGAAAATTATTTAAAGATAAATAAGACATCATTTTAATTCTATAGTGGCAGGTAAAGAAATTTAATTAAGTCCAGGAAAATATATCTGAAGTATATAGAGCCAAGACTTGAATATTTATTTAAACGTTTAAAAGAATTGCTTGATGTAAATAATCTACAATTAAGAATACTTGGCACTTGACTTTTTACTTTATTCTTTCATATAGTAAATAAGATTTTTTTTCCTGTTTCTACCATATTTATATGCAGCGTTCACATATTAACTGGCAATTTTTCATATTTCACTCCACAGAAAGATTTATGCGAATCTACTTGAGACTTGGTTTGTTCTCTTGTAAGATTTTGCTAATCGAATTTCTTGAGTGTGAATGCAATTTTTCTGGTTTTCAGTGGGATTTATTACATAAATGCACCTTTTTTTTTAAAATGTCATTTCCCTTAGAACTGTTCAATAGAAGAAATTAAAAAACTGTGCCAGGAACAGTTAGAACTCCTGTCTGAAAAAAAAATCTTGAAGATTCTTGAGGGTAAGAATACATATTTCTAGATTCTAGTGCCTAACATTTTCAGTATAAATCCTAAAGTATTTCTTTTTCTTTTTTGACTATTGAATTTTATTAAAGGTGGTCACTTAAGAGTGTTTTTACCACTCTTTGTACTGAGAAATATAATTTAAATGTCCGAATAATATTTCAGGAGTAGATTGTTGAGTATAGTTTTCCAAATCAAATGATTGAGTGTTGAAGTCTATAAAATATTTGCTTGACATACTGTAAAATAATTAAAAAGGCAAGTATTTCTCAGAAAGTATTTTTTAACTTTCTACTTTATTCTTTGAATAGTATTTGCATATTATTTATTGTATATACTCAGACCTAGATGCAGAGTTAGAAGACTTTCTTACAGTTTGCAAACATGTTTCTACCAGAACTGTGTCTCTTTTCTTCTTTGTAATACTATTTTTTTGGTGCAGAAATCCAAGAATTAACCTTGTGATACTGTTTCTCATGTCTAGAAGTTTGGATCTTCAAACTTTTTTGAACATTGCAAGGATATTTATATGAATGTCATGAAAGTAGGGAGAAAAATGAGAGACTTTTAATTTTTAGGAATGTTTTTTAAAAAAAAATGTAAACTGGTTTAGTAAAATTGTGTAACTTTCAAGTTATTTATGTACGCTATAGGGAGCTGTGGTGGCCTGGTGGTAAGAAGCGGTGCTACAGTGCCAGAGACATTTGGTTCCAGTCCACCAGCTAGCTGTTCCACAGGAGAAGGATGGGCAGTCTCCTCCTGTGTGATTATCTGCCTCTGAAAACCTTCTGGAGGGTCAGCTATGGGTCAGTTCCGACTCAACAGCACACATCAACAACAGCATATACTATATAAACACACACACACACACAAAGTGTTATGACAAGACAATGAGATATATAACTAAAGTTCTATATATATATTTTTAAAAGTCTATGCCGTTTTTTTTTGACACTTTTTTGTCTAACTGAATTACGTTGACATGTGTTTATATAGTTTATTTTATTTATAAGGTGACAATGGTGCGGACTCTGATATGGAAGAAGAGACAGATGATGCCTCAAAGATGGGATCTGATTTAGTCAGTCAGTAAGTTAAATTTTATTTTTCTTCTTAAACTTCTGATTTTTTTTTTTTTTGTGATTTATACCTCAAGGATGCGATTATTCTCCCTGCCCTGTATTTTATTTTAATGCTACAACATAAAGGGACTGATTTGTTGTAATGACCTAAAGCCTTAAAGAGATTGCTCCTTTTTACCTAAGTGAGGATGGAGTTCATTGCTTTCTGAATTCATTTTGTTGCCTTAAATGTCTACATTATCTTTAGGACAGCCAGGCTCTCAGCCTGAAGCAGCTATATTACTCATGTCCACTGTTAAGTACACATTATGTCTGAGACAGTCCTAAAGACTATCATTTTATTCTCTTAAATTCTATACTACCTATTAATGCTAGGTTATAATGAACTCATTTTACAGATGGTATTTGCTAATTTTTTTAAAAAGTTTTCTTTTCTCAACAAACTTTCATCCATTAATTTTAGCATCTATTGATGCTTTTTACCTGAAAAAGTTTCTTTGGTGATTACCAAAGATGTATTTTTTTTTATCTCTCTGCAAAACCTGGCATATTTCTTAAAAAAAAAGGAAAGATTTTTTAAATAGGTACAGGTTGTTGAGTACCATCGAGTTGGGACCAGCTCAGAACTGATGCTGAGACAGTTCATTGCACCACTGGAGATTACCCATCTTTCTCCCACAGAGCAGCTGACAGATTTGAACCACTTTCCTTTGAATTGGCAACACACTTCTTACCACTAGGCCACTAGAGCTCTCTCGGTACAGGTAGTAGCACAAACAAAAAGAATCTGCTGGAGGCAGTGCCATAAAGCACATATTTAACTTGATGTATTGAGGACTTTACCATTTCTAATAGAATTCTGTTGGGTAAGTATCACTGTAAAAAAGTATGATTATATTGCGTGCTGCTGCTCTGAAGAACATTGAATTCTCTGTCTGTAGTGTCCAATCAGACATTCACTCTATTGCTTGCTACCTGATAACGGGCTTTAGATCATCACACACATCATATGTCTAAATACCACAAGGTGATTTGTGCCATAGTGTGTTGTTAGTTGCCCTGCTAACCAAAACATCAGTAGTTCTAATGTACTACTTGCCCTTGGGAGAAATATGGGCAAACTTTAATAGAGATTTACAGTCTTGGAAACTCAGTGGAAGGTGGCTGTGAGCTAACTCAATGGTAGTAGGTTTGCTTTCTCTGCTTTTTTATATAGAAAGTAGACCTGAACTACATTCCTTTGGGTTGGGCAGTGCAACTCCTTGTCACTAAGCCTTCAGAGCTACCTATATAAAGTAGAAAACATTTGTATTTCTAGAAAATATTATTTCTGTCTTGTTTTAAAATACGTAGTTTTGAGTGAAGGAGCCCTTGGAGTACTTCTGCATGGACTTACAGGCTCTCTGTGAGTTGTCTTCAACTCTCTGACAGCAGGTTTGAGGTTTCAGTGGCTTATATAATTTATTGATATGTTTTAATCAGTTTAAGCATTTGCAAAGCTTGCCAGTTTTCCATACTTTTACATTTCTTAAGTTCTTCAAATTGATAATTTCGCATATTAATATCACTCACAGAGAGTCTTGGATGGGAATGTTTCTTGCCTCAGTTTTTGAGGTGCTTGCTGTCAGAGTTATATTCTTTGTTCCGATTTAAGCACTTGTGCTGTCTTTTCTGTTGTTGCCACTGTTATTGTGGTTAGATGCCATAACAGTTCCAGAAACGAGCTCCTTGGTGTATCATAAGGTCCATCTACCTCTTTTTTTTGGTGAGTCTTTGTTTACCTTCTGCTGCGCTTTTAAGACAGATTTGTTTTGTTCTTTTGGCAGCTGTGGTGTGTTTCATATTCTTCACTGGTGTCACAGTTTGAAAGCATCAGTTCTTTTTTCAGTTTTCCTTACACAGTTTTAAACTTTCACATGCATATGAGGCCACTGAAAATACTCTGATTTGAGTTCTGTGTACTCTAATCCACAAAGGAGCCATTAGATTATAGATAGTTAATCAGAGCAGAAATTTAACTACAACAAATAAAATTTTTGACTGCTGGATTGTCCTAATTAAAGAATCAAGCTTTGGATTAAAAATGATTGTTGTGAAGAACCTGCTTTTACCATGTGTTATGAGAGAGGTCACATTAACTTTTTAATGTAACAAGTGAATGTTACTATGTTCTATCAAGTCAGAATCAATCCATAGTGGACACTTCGGTCTGTTTTCAGAGGCAGTAACTCTCAGGAGAATAGATTACTCAATCCTTCTGTGGTGCAGCTGGTGGATTTGAACTGCATGCTTTGGGGATTGCAGTGCAGCTTATTAACACTAGGTCATTACTGAGTAGGTTGAATGATCACAAATACTACCAGAAATTGTCATTGTTATGGAATTAATAAATACCAGATCACTGAAACTTTCTTGAACTGCTTTAGAATATAGATCTATTTTTAATCTGCAAAAAAAAGTAATAATACTTCTCACTAACACTTTTGAGAATTGTATTAAATAATCTATTTGAAGCATTTTGTGTGCATTCATTCACTTACTAAGTTCATATAGGAACTTTGTGTAATATATTGTCAAAGCTATTTTACACATATTGGCAATGTATAGTTAGAAAAATTAAAAAATAAAGTAATTCTTAAATACAGTTCTGAAAAAAAAATGATAAAAGATGCTGGAAACTGTAATGTGCTGATGATATAAAGCAAAGATGATCTTAATAAAAGGAGAGGCATGCTGCAATTCATTGATTGGAAAACTTTTAACATTGTAAAGACTCATGACCTGAGATAAGTAGATGACAACCCTTTTTTGCTGAGAGTAAGGAGAACTCAAAACACTTACTAATAAAGGTTGTATACCTTTAGTATTGTCTTCAGTATTGATTATACCTTCTTGTAAGGAATTCTTGACTATGAATTAGTGTTGGTAAAGAATGCTGGGTTTTTATACTGCCAGAATATTTAACTAACATTTCTAGGAAGAATTATAGTTAACATGTTTCTTAAAAGCAAGGATGGCAAGATATCATACCAATTTGGACATGTTCTCAGGAAGAACCAGTCCCTGAAGACTCTCTTTCTTGCTGGCCTGCTTTTCATGGTGTCCTTGTCCAGGGACTGGTCTCCCCTTACAAATGCCCAAACTATGTGAGCCCCAGTCTTACCATCCTTGTCTCTAAGGAGAATTGTGATTGCACTTCCTCCAAGATACATTCGTTTTTCTTTTCATAGTCTGTATTCTTCACTACTGTCAGAGTTTGAAAGTATTAATTCTTCAGCGTTCCTTACTCATTGTTAATGGAGTTGTTAGAATCCACTTAGTGGCATTAGGTTTAATTTGATGCTTTAAATGCTAAATGATTTAACCAACTTGAATTTTTTTCTTTAAGACAGGGAAAGAAGTGATTTCTCATTATTTGATGTCACCTTACTTCATGCACATTTTATGTGTTTCATGTGTGTCTCCTATGTTGGGCATTGTGTTGTTAGGGATATCAATATAGATAATTCACCATTCTTGTTCTTCTAAGTTCATTACTAAAGTAGTTGTTGTTGTTGTTATGTGACATTGAGTCATTTGTGACTCATAGCAATCCTGTGTACAAGACCCTAAATGCCGTTCTATCCTGTGCCAGCCTCGCCATCTCAAACACATTCATTCCCACCACTCCACTCACAGAACTGATCCATCTCATCGAGGGTCTTCCTCTCCTGTGCCGCCCCTCCACTCTCCCAAACATGATGTCCCTCTCCAAGGACCAGTCGCTCCTTGCAGCAAGCCCAAAGTATGTCAGATGAAGCTTCAGAATCCCAGGGAACATTCTGGCTTTACACTCTCCAGGACAAACCTGTTTGTTCTCCTAGCAGTCCATGCTATATTCAACACTCTTCTCCAGTACCACAACTCAAAGGCATGAATTCTCTTTCTATCATCCTTATTTACTGTCCCACTCTCTGATGCATAGCACGTAATTGCAAAGACTATAGCCTGGATCAGGCACACCTTAGTCTCCAACCTGATGTCATAGCACTTCAGTACTCTTGAGAGGTCCCTCACAGCTGACTTTCCCAATGCAATTCGTCTCCTGATTTCCTGGCTGCTGTTACCAAGAGTGTTTACTGTGGAACCAAATAAACAAAAACTGTTAACTCTCTCAATCTCTTCACCATCCATACTGATGCTGCCAATTGGCCCAGTGGTAAGAATCTTTGTTTTCTTGATATTGAGCTTCAATCCATATTGAAGACTGCAGTCCTTGACCTTCCGCAGCAAGCACTTCAGGTCCTCCTCAGTTTCAGCGAGCAGGGTTATGTCATCTGCATAACGCAGGTTGTTGATGATTCCTCCACCAATCCTGATGCCACATTCTTCCTCGTACAGCCCAGCATCTCGGATGATCTGTTCCGCATACAGATTGAAAAGTTATGGAGACAGAATACATCCCTGCCGGACCCCTTTCTTGATTTTGAACCATCCAGTGTCTCCCTGCTCTGTTCTGACGACTGCCTCTTGGTCCAAGTATAGGTTTCCAAATGTTCTGGGATTCCCATTCTTCTCAGAGTCAGCCATAGCTTGTTGTGATCCACACAGTCAAAAGCCTTTGCATAGTCAATGAAGCACAGGTAGACATTCTTCTGGTATTCTCTGCTTCTGCCAAGATCCATCTTGCATTAACTATAATATCCCTAGTACCACGACTTCTTCTAAATCCAGCCTGCCCATTTGGCAGTTCTCTATTGACATATTGTTCCAAATGTTTTTGGATAATTTTCAGCAGAATCTTGCTTGCATGTGATATCAATGATATTGTTAGATAATTTCCACACTCTGTTGGGTCACTTTTCTTTGGAATGGGAATAAATATCGATCTCTTCTAGTCAGTTGGCCAGCTGGCTGTCCTCCAGATTTCCTGGCACAACTTAGTGAACACATCCAGGCCAGTGTCTGTTTGTTGAAATAAATCAACAGGACGCCTGAGGATGTCAATACTAAAGTAGTGTGATTATT